AGGTGTGTCAGGCCAGCACCCATCAGTGAGTCCCAGCCCTTGTCCCCTCCTTGAGGCCTCGCAAACCTGTCCTCCCCTCCCTGGCTCAGCGCAGGAGCTTAGGGCCCGCCTCCAGCCCGCCTCCCTCCCCTGCCCTCTTCTTTCCTTCCTAGCCGAGCCCCACTTGTTCCTGCTGCTTCATTTTCAAGTCACCCCTCCGTCTGCCCTAACCCGGCTCTACTCGACGTCCTGCCCAGACTCCTCCCGCCCAGGTGGTAACTAGCCAGGTGCAGCGGGCCGGGCACTTCTCACCTGAGGAAGCCCACACGCCCGGGGAGGGGTCAGTGAGGGTGTGGGCACCAGGGGGCGGGGGTCACCCGAGAGTGTGTCGTGTGAGTGAAACGCTGCATCAGATTCCGCCGCCGCGCCTGGGAGAGGGGCCTGATGCCGCTCACTGTCCACACCCTCCTGTTCACGTCAGAGTGAGAAAGAAAAGGCTAATGGCTTTGTTTTTCCGACGTCCCTGAGAAGAAGAGCAGTAACTTTCCCACTTGAGCTGAATGTTTATAAGACTGCTGCAATTTGGAATAATTATAGCTGCCCTTGGGCCAGTCTCCCCCCCCCCCCCCCGCACTCAAGAGAACGAATCTTCCCTGCTGCCTAGAAGAACAGAAATCTCCAAACCCCGCCGAGTCTGCCTCTCGCGTTCCACGTCCCTCCACCCGGCTGGTGGTCTCCCCGGGACACACTCCAGATTGTTCACATCCTTTCTAATGTCCGTGCGAAGCCTTCTTTTAATGTTTAAATCACAATTCTGGATGAAGAAATCAGACTTCCTCGACTTTTTTTTTAATCCGTAAGATTCACAGCAGGCACAGTGAAGAATCTTTGCAATTTCGTTTCCTTCTGTACACTTTCCTCTTCCTTCTGTAGCTGCGAGCTCCTGGAGGCTGTCAGCAAAAAATGCCGTATTTTCCAGTCCTGGGCTCCATTCACAGATGCGGAAATGGGAGGATTCCCTCCTCATTGAAATTTCTCTCTCCTCTTTCCCGTGCATCCTGGGAGGGCCGTTTGTTCCCGGGCGCAGGGAAGTTGGCAGCTTAGTGAGCTGATTTCTTGATATGTGGTGAGAAAGGGTAAGCATGAGAGGAAGCTCGAAGCAGGATTCAGAGTTTTAACGTATCTCATCCAAGTCTGTAAACGAATAAATAATCATTCCTTTCCAAGGTCAGTTCCTGTAAATCCACTTGCCTGTGGCAAGTTCACTTCTTGGCAGGGCGTGGGTCAGATCTGTCAGTCCATAGACAGGTGTCCAGTACCTATAGATAGACAGAACCTAGTACAGATACTAGACATCTATAGATAGATGGATACACAGACAGTGGATCTCCTGAATCTTGTCTTAGAATTATAATCCTGAGATTTCCAGGCATCCTAATGTCAGCGTTTCCACACTTCTACTACCCAGTAGGATAGTATCCAAGCCTTCCCTCACAGATGGCTAATCTTTGCAGGGGCTGTGGCTCAGTGGTAGAGTGTGTGCTTAGCATGCGCGAGGTCCTGGGTTCAATCCCCAGTCCCTCCTAACTGTGCGTCTTGTAGGTTTGGAATCTTGGGCAGTTCAGTTCTCTTCTCAGAAGCTGTTTCTTCCCCGTAAATCAGGGGTGATGCCCAGATGATGTTTGGGTTGTCAATAAAGACTAAAGAGAGTGGGCTGAAGTGCCGGCACCGGGGCTGTGGGTGCGAACACGATGGCTTCCTGAGGTGCTGAGTGTCGGTAGGTGCCATCTTTGATGGAGAGGTGAACACCGGTGACTGTGATCGTTATTCAAAGCGCTAATTCTTGGAGACTGAGAAAAACGTCTTCAATTCATTCAAAGGTTTCAAGTATCTGCTGAGGGGCCGAGTGCTGTGAGGCCTCTGTGTTCAGGAGGGGGCGCTGTACTGTCTTAAGCTCCGTTCTCGGGGGACTGCATCTGGACTCGACTCTCTGCCATTGGAGCTGAGACAGAATAACTCTGGGGATGACTGGAGCTGCTGGGAGACCAGGCAGAAGGGGAGACAAGCCATCTCTTTTCTCTGTCGCAGCCTGAGGTCAGCTGTGGACGATTCGGAGCCAAAGGGAGACCCAGAGAAGACCCAGTCCTCCCCTCTTATGTCACGGATGAAAGCCGTCCGTCTGGAGAGGTGGGATGGCTCGCCCGAGGCCGTGTGGCACATCAGGGGCAGATCAGGGCTGGAGCTTTGGTGTCTGCCTGCCAGCTTACCCATTTTTTCCATCACACCAAATGTGCCTCATTTTGCGTTTATGCCCTGTCTTTTTACCTGCCTCTGCTCCGCCCTCATTGGTCCCCGTGCAGAACTCACTACCCTGTTCCCGCAGTCACCTCTTTAGGCTTCTGCCTGTTCGTCTGCTGGTGTGGACGCAGAGTTCCTCAAGTGCTGAAGTCTTGATTGGTGGAACCCCGGTCTGAGTCAGCAGTGCGGAGCCTCGGCTGGAGCCAGCACAACCCCAGGGCGTCAGTAGGCCCCGGCATGGAGGAGTCAGGAGGGCGTTCGGGCCGCTGCAGCCTGCCGGGGACGCTGAGCTGCAGAGTTGAGGGAACAGTGGGCGGGGCGGGAGAAGGGGCCCAGGAAAGATGAAAGGCTCTGAGATTATTTATCTTGGAGAGTAAAAAGCTGAGGGTGGCTTTCAAAAAGCGTTTCAAATGTAAGGCCAGCTGTAAAACATCTTCCCTGAGGACACAATGAGAAGTACATTAACAGCAGCCGGAGGACTCGGGCTACAGAGCTTTCTGGCTTCAGCCGCCCACTAGTCACCCAGGGAGTCATCCAGGGAGCCGGCATAGCTCAGGGGTAGAGCACATGCCTGGCATGCATGAGGTCCTGGGTTCAGTCCCCAGCACCGCCATTAAAATATAATAAATGAGCCTAATTAACACCCCCACAAAGAAGAATTTAAAAAGACCACCGCATGTCCAAGCTACACCCCAGAACAATTAATCCAGATCGTTAGGGTTGGGAGCTGAACACCAGTCATTTTTGAAGGTCTTCTGGTGATTTCAGTGGGCAGCCGAGGCTGGAGTGGAGGCTGAGGGTGAAGCTAAGACCCCTTCACTGCTGAGGATCCTGAGACGGGCGGGGACACTGCGTGGGGCGTGTGACCTGACCTTCCTCCCTGGACATGACGTAAGTACCTAACAGACTCGGGGGTGTTTCGGACAGAGCCTCAGTTAGAGACAGCTTTCAACACGGTCGCCTTCTTCAGATGCAGTGGTTTCCAAGCCTGCTTGTCCACCAGGTTCACCTCGTGGAGCTCAGCAAACACGGAGAAATCTGGGCCCCCCCGCCAGAGATGCTGGGTCAAAATCTCTTAGGCTGGGCCCAGACTGTAAGTTTATATAGAAGTTATATGAAGGCTCTGCACGGTTTGATGCATTTGGAAGCCAGATGCTGACCCGATGAGCAGACGTGTGGGCACCTACTGTGTGTTCAGACCTACTGTGTTCCTTGGGAATAGGGAACACAAATTTTTTTTCCCTTGAGAAGTTCACGAACTCCTGCCCTGGAACCAGTGAGAGAACACTGCAGGAAGGACTGAGCGCTGAGTTAAATGCACAGACGGCCACGGAAGGGCCACAGAGGGCACAGGTCAGCGGGGCAGAGTGACCAGTGAGAGCTGCGTGGGGAGCGTGGTACGGGAGTGGCTCTTGAAGACCCTGGAGGGGCTGGGGGAGGGCATGCACACGAGACGGGAGAGGCAGGATGTCTCTGGGGACATTGAAGAAACAGTTTGGCTGGAGAGGAGGCACTTGTTGGAAAACAGAGGGAGAGACAGTGGGTGGAGGTGGCTGGGGCTAGATTGTCCAGCGGCCCTGACTTAGGAAGTCTTGAAAGCAGGAAGTCTTGCAGAGGCGATGTTGCTGGAAAGGAGGCTGTCCTCCCCCTGCGGTTGATGCGAGGTCGCTAAAGCAAGGTGCGCGCCTGGCGCCCCATCAGTGCTCTGTGATTTCTGGGTCAGAAGAGTTTACATTTTAATCTCACGGAAGAATCACGAGGAAAGTGGCCCAAGGATGTCAATCTACTCCAGAAAAGTAATTTTTTTTTAATGGGGGGAGATGGAAGCTGCCTTGGAACCTCTGAGGTGGCCTCCCTTGACCTCCTCGGCCGTTTCCGCACATCTGTACCGTCCACAACCCACACAGTTGCCCGTCCCAGCCCCTGACTCGTTCCTACTGTCTGGCAGGGGCCAGCTTTGCTCAGGGCTCTCTCAGCCCTGTCCCTTCAGGAGCCGTCCCTGCTCTCCGTGAACCCGTCCTTCGGGGTAAATGAGGGCTTGCCACGTGTCAGGCCCTTTGCACACACTCGCGACCCTGCCAGGGAAGGAAGTCTCCCCTCTCGATAGATGAGAAATAGACGAGGACCTGGAAGTTGAACACCTTGCTCCCGCTGGCCGCAGGCTGGGAAGTGACAGGAGCGGCCCCAGACCAGGGACCGCCAGCCTCAGGGCCAGCAGCCCCGCCTTCACTCTGCGGCTCCGCCCTGGCGGGGCGGGGCTCCCCCAGCCCCACATCCAGGTGTGGGGCTTCGCTTTGCTGCCATTGGCACTTCTTTCCTGTGTTTAGACAATTATTTTTAAAAAATCAATTCTAGCACATTATTTGAATATTCAAACAATACTGAAGCTTAAAAAGCAGAAGTGAAAAATGTCTCTTGACTTCATCTCCCAACCCCAACCCTACTCTCCAAATGTAACCGCTAGTAACTGTTCAGTGAATATTTCTTCAGACCTTTCTATGTGCAGAGAAGCGTATGTGTGTGTTTGGGAAGTTGTCTGACAGCTCAGGGTTCTGTAATCTACATATATTTATACGAAATCACTGTCCATTCCAATCACAAGCTGCAAAAAGATAAGATAAATACATGTTTAGATTCAGCTACCCAGCACCTGCCCAAGAAGCCCCGACGCTGGCTGGGTTTGTAGCAGCACTTGGGCTGGAGAGAGGGGAGGAAGGCAGGGCCCCTCTGGAGAGACCCGAGGTCCCCAAGGAGGAGAGCGGGCTGCCGACCAGCTCACGTGGAAGCACAGCGCGAAGTCCTTCGCGTGTGCGTGTGCGTGTGCGTGTGTGTGTGTGTGTGTAAGTCTGCTGCCGACGGGAGGGGAGCAGGGGGCGGAGAGGCAGGAGGGCGGAATGTGGGCTGGGCCAAGTCTAGAATTACAAGGGCCGCAGAGGAGTGGGAACCACACTTTAAATAGCCAGCCCCTCCCCTCCCCACTAGATAATTCTCCCCTCTGACCGGACTTCTGGCAGCAACTACACGAAGGTTGGTGATATTTTCTTCTCTTTCTTTTTTTTCTGCTCCTAGGTCTCAGCCCGCAGGTGGGTGGGCTCCCTGGGACTCACAACCAGAGGGTTTTGGGGTCATTTATGTGTGATATGCAAACACTATTATTTTCTTGACTTTCTGGAGCTTCAGTGGCTGCTGACTTCAGGGCCAATGTGACTTGGAGAAAGAGAACCCTCGATGGAGAGGAAGAACTTTTGGGTTTACTTTTTTTTTTTACATTTTTTATTGATTTATAATCAGTTTGCAATGTTGTGTCACATTCTAGTGTAGAGCACAATTTGTCAGTTATGCATGAACATGTATATATTCATTGTCACACTTTTTCTCTGTGAGCTGCCATGAGATCTTGTGTATGTTCCCCTGTGCTATTGGGTTTACTTCTAAGAAAATGAAGGCTTTCTTCTCTGTGAAAGGAGACAAGGTTGAAAGTTGAAAGGACATGAACTTTTGAGAGGATTGAAAGAAAATAGAAATCTGAGTGTCTGTTACACTACGAAGCGCTTTCTTAGGTTCTTCATTGACTCCTCAGGGCTAAGTGTGCCCCGTCGTCCTCGCTTTTCCAGACGAGCAGACGGAGACTCAGGGTCACTGATTAACTTCCTTGAGGTCGGGTGGTGCTCTGGTGCAGAGCTGCGGTGTGAACCCGGCTCAACTGACCTTCGACTGCCCGATGCTGGCCCTGAGAACTGGTGGTACCCAGGATGGGGGGATGCAGCAGGTGTCCTATCACGGGAAGACAGCCCGCGGGCCCGGAACCTGCACAGGACAGGAAGCAATCTTCTGAGAGGGACAGAGGAAGCTCCTGGGGAGCCGCTGCTTGGGTTTCTCCTTCTCCGCTGACAGTCTTGGGAGCCCGTTCCCTAATTTGTCAAACAAGCAGCATGTCCCCGGCCTCCCTCTGACTTTTTGGATCCCTTGGGGCCGCCCTGCTGGGAGGAGGGTCTGCGGCCAGATGGGACCCCTGTGGAGAAAGCGCTGTTCACATGAATTTTTCTCAGGGCGTGGAAGGAAGTCTCCATGCCCACTTCTCCAGCAAAGGGGCCACAGGGTACGGCTGGTGGGGGTGGTCCCAAGAAGATGCTTGTGTTAGACCCGCTGATAAACCCAGGCAGCCAGCGTGATGGGCAGAGGTAACTGAACGGGCAGGGCGGAGTGGCTTCGGGTCCCGGCTGTGCTGTAAGGTGGTACCTAGGTCACCCAGCCTCTCTGAGCGCAGCGTCCTGTGTACAAAGCAGGGGAAGTGCTGCTCCCATCTCGGGGTTGGGTGGACTGAGCGAAATAAATGGACGTAAAGTGCTGAGTCAGCCTCCTCCCGTCCCCCTGAGAATCTAGACCAGGCAGGGAAGGCTGTGGCCGGGCAGCTCCGCGATCGTGTCTTGTTGTCTTCTCCGCTGCACAGGGTCCTACACGAGGCGCCACCGAGGCAGGAAAAGAGCCCACGATGCATCTTTCTCTGACGCTGCTGTCAGGGAGAGATGAAGGGCATCGCTGGGAAGGCCCCCTCATCCGATTCAGAGCTCCTGGTCCCACCCAACCTCTTCCATGCTCTTCAGGGATCTAGAAAAAACTGGCTTTTATGTTCATATTTCAAAATAAGACATGTTCCTTGGGGAAAATGTGGGCAATATGAATAGGGAAAACACCCCTGCATTGTATCCGCTGAGAGGGGAGCACGGGTGGCCACGCTAACCTTCACGCAGACAAATACTTACTATTTTTCCAGCATAATCAGGTCACGTGCTCTTTTGTAACCGTTCTCGCTTCCCATATTGTGAACGTCGTTTCATCTCATCGCACTCTCTTCTGCAGCACAATATTTAGTGATCACGGAGTAGTTCATCATGTGCGCCGTACTTTATTAACCTATTTACCGTTTCTGAACATTTATAGACTTCCCAACTTTTTGCTGTTCTAAGCAACGGCCAATCCTGATGCTGAATTGTTACCCACAGTCACAATTACTTCCTTAGGGTAGATTCCTGAATGGGAAATTGGTGGCTTCAAGGAGATATAAAAATCTCATCCTTTCAACTGTCCCAGGATCCGGGAGCGAGAGACAGGAGCCCATGTGAATGCAGATGGGCTGTCTGTCAGGTGCCCGGGAGGACTTAGACACCCCAGGGCGTGTGAACCCTTCCCAGGCCCCACAAGCCCTGCCCGCCCGAGGGAACCTTTGTGGGGGAAGCTGTGTCTCTGCCTCAGGGTGGATGCCTTCTGCCTGACACGGGGAAGGAACACACGTTCTCAGCACTGTTGTCCAGGCGTCACCGACGAGAGACGCTGAGGAGGGTGTGGTCTGCAGCCGGGACTAGGACCTCACTCTTCAGTGCGCCGTTCGCTGGGGAGTTTCCTGGTGAAGGAAGGGGTGGCTTCCCTGCCGGGGTTCCCGGCGGTCACGGGGCGCCCTGCTTGTTTTCCAGGTGGAATGGATAGCAGGGTCTCGGGCACAGCCAGCAATGGAGAAACAAAACCAGTGTGCCCGGGCGTGGAAAAGGTGGAGAAGGACGGCACCCTGGAGCGGGGGCACTGGACCAACAAGACGGAGTTTGTGCTGTCGGTGGCCGGGGAGATCATCGGGCTGGGCAACGTCTGGAGGTTCCCCTACCTCTGCTACAAAAACGGGGGCGGTGAGAGCCACGGCCCCTCCCGCCCCGCAAGGCTGTCTCCCTCCCTGGCACTTCCTGCCCCCTGGGGAGCCCCGTAGACGCAGAGGATGCTGGAGCTGGAAAGACCCTTAGAAGTCGTCCAGGACACTGCAGGAGAGAGACCCAGCCGGAGGGGCGACTCCCCAGGAGCCCCTCTTGTGGCATCACAGAAACAGGGATGTGGGCTGGGAGCCCAGGTAGATGGGAGCTTGGATTCTGGCTCTGCTGCCTCCTCTCCGTGGTCTCGGGCAAGCCCACGGAGCTGAGGCGACGCTACACATTGAGAGGGTTCTGCCTGTCCTTCCAGGTTGTTGGTAGGATTGGAGCTCACAACTGCAAAGGGCCTGAGAGGTGGTAGCTGTCCTGAAGGCGACGCTGGTGCCCAGCTCTCCCGTGGTCTGAGACTCAGTTGCTGTGGCTTCATGTGTTCCCCCTGCTCCGCCGGCCCCATGACATCCCCGCCGACCCCCACTGCGTATCACCTTGATACCAGTGCCTCTTCCTCTGAAGTTTCCCCACTGAAGATGTCTGTGGGGTGGGAAGGGGGAGCACGAATGCTAACTCTGTCCCGGGTCTCCACTGGCCTCTCATTCTTGTCCGTCCCGTGCCCTGCAGACCCTGCGCCGTCCCCACAGCAGCACTGGTCACTTTCCCACCATGGACTCTGCAGGAGGATCTTCCAGGCGCCGCAGGGCTCTGGCTGAGCAGTAGGCTCGGAAGATCTCCCCCTTGGGGGGGGTAAATCCTAGGGGGACTGGGCTCCCAGCTCTGGTTTTGAGTCTGGGCTGGAGGAGGGGAGACGCAGCGGGAGGTCCAGGGAAAGGCTGGGGGAGTGGGAGTTCCGTGGGCCGAGAGGATGGAGGAAGCCCTAATGTAACACCTACCTTTCCGTGGGGCCGTCGGAGCCTCCACGTGCATGAGCCCCGTCTTGGTGGCTCTGGGGAGAAAGCCCCCAGCGCGGCGTGGAGGAGGGAGGTCGGGGGACAACACACAGACGGCCTGAGTCCATGGTCTGGTTCTCAGGGTGGTGGCCCTGGGGACTGGCCTGGGGCTGGACGTTAACTTGTGCTTCCCAGAGGGTGGGATGGGCTGACGTGTCCTTTCTCCGCAAGGCTTTCTGGCCGGCAGCCTGAAACCACAGGACTTTGCTCAGTCTGTGCTGTGAGCGAAGGAGGGAGGTCCCGGCCTAGCCCCGGGCGCTCTGCTCGCTGGCCTGTTCAGACATCGAGGCCCGAGGGTTGAGGGATGAGGCTGGTCCAGGGAGGAGGAGGAGTCGGGGGCTAAGCTGGGCCTTGGGGCTCCGTGTCTGGAACCCAGTCACCAGCTTAGCTCCTCACGTGGCAGAAGATTAGGAGTGAGCAGCTTTCCCCAAGCCTCTCCGGAATTGGGGGAAGTTGGTTAGGAATTAGCAGGAGTGGCACGAAGGGGCAGGAGACGGGGCCCCAGGTCGGGTGCAGGCCGCTGGGCGGAGGAAGGCCAAGCGAAGGGGCGCAGGGTTGTGGGGAGTGCGGGTTCGCCCCGTCGAGGCCAGGCTTCTGGCGGGTTTGCATCTGATTTCCGCCTGGGGCCCCGTGTAAGTCTGTGCAGCCTGGGCGGGTGGCTGTCTCGGGGGAAATGCAGGCCAGGAGTGAGCGTGTGCACGGCCCTTGGTCTTGCATGTGGACGCCTGTGGGGGACGTGGAGGCAGGAGGGTGGCCGCCTCCCCGCTGAGCAGAGCCCGCCCTCCAGCACCTGGGGCCCTGTGGAGAGTGAGACAGGCGTTTCCCGGGTGCTGGTGCCCCTGCGTGAACCCTTGCACCCCCCGATGGGGTGCAGGCCTCAGGCCTCCTCCTCTCTCTCCCTGACGGACGACAGCAGCTGGAGGAAGGGCCTGAAGGGCTCGGGCGGCAGGCTGATGCCTGGCTGCTCTGAAGGGCGAGTCACCCTGGGCCGGGCTGGATGAGCGGAAGGCGCCTCTGGAGGGGACCCGGGCCGCGGGGTCTGCAGAGGGACCCGGACGGGCCTGCTTTTCTGGTTTCGGTGTTGCCGGCAGTTCAACCTTGCTGTCCCCATTCACCACCCCTCCCCTCCCTCCAGACTTCATTTTGACACCTCTCGTCTCTTTGTCAAGAAGGGGGCCTATGCCTCCTTAGGGCAGGGCCCTGTGCTGCCGGCGTGGGGAAGCGGGGTGAGGAGAAGGGAGACCATTTAGGTTGGGATGAATGTGTCCTCTTGGCTTACTGATTTTACTTAAGCCTGTGGCTCTCAGATTGAGGCTCGGGCTCCAGGGGGACGAGAGGGAAGTTCCCAGCAGGCTCTGGAGGAGGATGCTGGGTGATACCGGGAGAACCACGTTCGGGTACCGTATGCCATCACCTGCTTCTCGAACTTCATAGCTGTAAACGGCCATGTCCGTGCTTGGTGAGGAGGATAAACTGGGGACTTTATCATTATTAATATCTGCTCAGTGGTGAAGCCTGGGAGGAAAAAGTCCCCAGAGCATAATTTTAGCTCCAAACTAAAAATACAAGAGATGTCTTCTTTGGTTCCTTCCAGCTTTGACATCTGGTGGATCCGATCGGAAGTGAGTCTCAGAGCAGGGAGAGGGCTGAGGCCAGAACAGGACAGAGGGAAGGCACACAGGTAAACACTGTAGCTGGAAACCGGAGACGCTGAGACAGGGGTCTGAGGAAGCCCACCGCAAATCACCTTCGTCAGGAGGTGGGAGGGAGGGACGCCTGCCGCAGCCACCTCCGAGGTGGGCATCCTCCCTGCCGTCCAGGGCCTGTGGCCAGCACGCCCCGAGCACCTGCCTCACCCTGATGGCTTTCTAGGGTTGGGCCCGTCTGGCCACCCAATGACAGTTACTTAGTGAGAACCCACCACCTGCCAGGAATTACTCTGAGTTGTAGCGATACGTCTAAAACAGAGCAGACCACTTCCCTGCCCCTGCCGGGCCTGCATTCTGGAGGAGGAAGACAGACAACGAAGGACACACATAGTAAACGAGAAAATCACATGGTACACCAGAAGTCCCCGAGTGCCGTGGGAGGGACCCAGGGGTCAGGAGGGGGAGTCGGGGTGAGGGTGGCCACACTGAGAACATTTGAGCAAAGCTTTAGGGTGGGGGTGAGAGTGGCCACATGGATACTGGGGAGAAAGTGCTCCAGGCAGACGAAACAAAGGTTTTCCTGGCCCCAAAGCGGGAGGCTGGCTGGCTTGTCTGGGGAGCCGTGGGGGGAGTCACTGCAAGGGGGCAGGTCACGCAGGTGCTTGTCAGCCACAGCGAGACTCTGGCTTCTACTCTAGTGACGAGGGGTCAGGGCAGGGGTGGGCAGAGTGGCACGATCTTACGTTCTGATGTAAACTCTCTAGTCGCTTGTTGAGAACCGATTGCAGGGGAGCAAGGGTGGAAGCAGACCAAGTACAAACCTTGGGAGCTAAAAACCTTGGCGTCACCCTGGACTTCCTTCTTTCTCTTAGAACCCTTGGTTCTACCCCAATACCCAGGTCCTGGTTGCTTCAGAACCTGGGCCTTCAGCTGGACCCTCTCCAGCACCCTGGACCCCGCACGAGATATGCAGAACCGAACCCTTCTCATCACCCCCACTGCTGCCACCTGGTCTGAGCAAGCCCAGGATTTAGCCTGAGCAGCTCAAAGGAAGGAGTTGCCATTTCCTGGGACGTGGACGGCCAGGGGGGGAGCAGGTGCTGAGAGGACGATGAGGAGTTGAGTGTTGGGCGTGCTGAGTTGAGACACCTGTTAGTCACCCCCGTGCACATGCAAAGGAGGCAGCAGTGTGTGTGGCTCTAGACCCTGGAGGGGACCGAGTCTGAGAGTCATTAGATTGCAGTGGTGTGAGGAGAGAGAGCAAGGACCTTACAAGACCTGGCGGAAGAGGAGGAACTAGCACAGCAGGGTGAGAACCAGGAGAATGAAGTGGTGGGAAGGTGACACAGCACTGACGTCGGGGGTAGGGCTGCAGACAGGGCAGGCCAGGCGAGGGGTGGGAACTGGCGGTTGGATTTAGCAGCATGGAAGTCGCTGGTGACGTATGAGAGCAGTTTCAGTGACACGCAGGGGCACAGCCTGGCACAGGCGGGTCAGATAATGAGGGAGAGAAGAACTGGAAATAGGAGATGTGGGTGATTTGGGCGAAACTCGGGAGCGGGTGAAGTTCCTCTCTTCCTTCCGTGTCGTCCCTCCTGGGTGGACAGGATGCTGCGCTGCTGGGACGGTGAGGCCGGTGGTCCAGCTGCCGTGGGGCCAGGGCTCCTGGCCGCTGAAGTTCCCAAAGAGGCTGCCCATTTCACTCACCTCCCCAAGCTCTCCACCCCTGACTCCCTGGAGGGAGAAGCAGACAGGATCCCCGAACAGGGCCTGCCCAGCTTAAGCTGTGGTCGCGGGGGTGAGGAGCCTCTGAGACCCTGAGGCAGGGTGTGGGGGAGGTGGCAGTGGCTTCAGCTCTGCTGGGAGCAAATCTAAATGACTTGGCGGCTGATCTCAGCCCAGGCAAAACCGGATCACCTACCAGCCATTTCATACCTCATTTCTAAGTCCGGGTTGCTGAAAGCCAGGCGGCGGTCACCGTGCCAAGAATCTTTGGGTTTTGCCCGTTGCAGAACCCCAGCCGGAGACCACCCTGTGTGAGGACAGGAGCGCCCTTCTCCCCTTGCGTCGCCCCCAGGTCCTCCCCGCTTCTGGTCTTCGGTCCCCAGACACCCCGGTTCTGGCTGCTTCAGAACCTGTCTTCAGCTGGAACCGCTCCAGCTCCCTGACCCCGGCTGCCGGCAGACTGAGTTCTTCAACACGCAGAATACCTGGGGCGGGAGACCCCGCGTGAGCCGAGCACAGTGGCCCACAGCGGGACCTCGCAGACAGCGGGATCTTAGAGGGGAAGGGCCGTGGGGGGAGGGTGGCGGCTGACTACACCCCAGCCCTAGACGTCAGGGCCAGCGCACAGGACGACAGGGAGGGCGCACAGGACGTCGGGGCGGGGACG